TTCTTTGTTGATTACTTGCCACCATTCAGAGGTGAAACTCCTCTTCTTCTACCTCATGGGTCGGTAGCGCAGGTTAGTATTAAGCTGGTGTGTGATGACCTCGGGGTCGATTCCCAACATGTCTGTTGTTGACCATGCAAACATGTCGGCATTGGCTCTCAGAAACTGCACGGTGTCGTCTTTGAGGCTGCCTTCTAGCAGGGATCTTATCTAACGGTTTTCTCCAAGTTGTCAAAAAGAGGCACCTGGACGAGGTCTTCCACAAGCTAGTCGTACTGTGTCTGCAACTCGTCTCTTAGGTCTATACTATCAGTGGTGAGTGCCTCACTGGTGTGGGGTCTTCCTCTGAAAGCCGTCAGGTAACATTGTCTCACGGCTCTTTGATTTCATAGAGCAACACCTACTCTGTAAGGGGTTGGAAATTTCATGGCAAAGTGGTACATAGAAACTAAGGCTCGTAATGCATTCAATGTTGGTCAGTCAATAATGGCATTGTATGGTGACAAGATGCAGACCACGATAAAATCTACCATTGTTGTGGTAGTGATGAGGCCATCACCTATTAGCAACAACATGGTGATTTTCCCTTGAGATATTAGTGAGTCTCCAACGATCCTACCAAAGGGGTGTTAACTGGCATCAGACAGTCTTTCCCCAATGCCGAGTTGTTCAAAGGCCTCCTTAAAGAGGATGTCGACTGAGCTCCCTATGACTACCAGTATCCTTTGGACTTCGAAGTTCATGATTTTAGTGGTTATTACTAGAATGTCATCATGCGGTGTCTACACCCCCTGAGGTCATTGCCGGTGACGGTGATGAGGGTGTCCTGCCTCGTTCTCTTCGGTTCCCTGTCTTCGACCTGATGCAACCTAGCATAGGCCTTGCAGAGTGAGTTGCTCTCTCCTCTAGAGACCATCCTGCTTGAGATTATGGCGATGACCCCAACAAGGGGAGCTTGGACTGGGGGCGCATCAGTGTGGTGCAGTTCTTATTTGGGTTTGTGCTATTTGATGTCTACGAACCCGATGAGGTATCCACGCTGGACAAGGCCTTCCAAGTGGTGGCGCAGATTGTGGCAACTCTCGATTTCATGGCCATGGTCTTAGTGAAAGTTATAGTACTTGTCTTGATTCCTCTTGTTGTTTTGGGACTTCATCTTCTTAGGCCACCTGACACGTTTAGTGGGGTGAAGTTACGGTACATCGGCGGTGGGGTTCTTGGTCTACGGTTAGGGCGTCGGTCTTGCCTCTTATTCTCCTAATCTAATCTCTGCTTGTTGTGGTCTTTCCGCTTCCGGTCATGTTGGTCCTCTTCACTCATGCGTAGAGCCTGGGCTTCTTCAACATTCATGTACTTTTGCGTGTGCCTCATAAGCGCAATCAGGTTGGACGGAGGATTCTTTTGTAATGAGAAGTTGAACATTGATGAGTGCAACCCTTTCATGATGGTGGCTATGGCGACTGACTGGTGCAGAGCTCGGACTTGAAGGGCTTCAACATTGAATTTCGCCAAGTAATCTCTCAAGGTCTCTCCTTTTCTATGATGCACTTGCATGAGGCTGGCCGAGGTCTTCCAATGTCTTTGGATGGTGGTGAACTATGCCAGGAATTGCGCTTCCAACTATTCCCAGGAGGCTATGGACCATGGTTGGAGTGAGGCCTAATAGGATCTAGCGACTCCTTGAAGGGTTACAACGGAGGCCTTGCACATGAGGCCCTCGGATGATTCGTGCAACATCATTATCACCTTGAATCCTTTGAGATGATCATTAGGATATGAGGCTCCATCATAGTTGTCGAACTAAGGGGGTCACCTTTTGGCTGGGGGGACCTCGTCAACAATTTCCTACACCAAGATGGGCTCTTTTGTGAGGTGCTGGTCGTGGTGTGGTTTTGCTGGTCAGGCCATCGAAGGAGCTACGTTGTGGTTTGCTTGGCTGCTTTCCAGTTCGGCCAACCTTTTTCGTAGGTCTCTGATCTCGGCGTCCCGATTTGCTAGCACCGTGTTTATGGACTTCTCCGCATTTGGAGCTGCTTTCCGGTCTCGGACCAAGTTGGATTCGGCTATCGAGACTGGAGGCTATTGCAAATGCTGGCCAAGTCATTCTCTCACCGGAATTCTGTTGCTAGAGTGGTGGGATTTACTATGGGCGTCGTGTGCACGAGGCCATGATGGAGAATCGGACTTCCGGGATGGCTGGGGCACCCACGATTAGATTGAGCCCTTTTCCTAGTCTGCGTGGTGCCTTTTGAGGTCCTCAGCGTAACGATCAACCATTGTAGGCGCCTGCGTGGCATGGCAAGCGGCTGGGGTAGCCTGTGTCAGCTGCCCAAATGTTTCCATCATGGCAAGGATGCGGTTGACCTTCTACTACATTGTATGGAACTATGCAGGGTCGACTGTTGTCTGAGGTTGGGCCTCTCGAGATGGAGAGCTACAGAATGAGTGGGATTCTTGAGATGGGGAATGAGCTCTAAAGTGATTGAATGTGTTCTTTGGCATGATTGTTTTCGATGTATGGTAAGAGGTTTGGGAACTGGCCATTTGTATGTTTCCCACAAATGGCACCAATCTGATGTTGTCCGATCCGAGGTGTTTCGAACCGAAGATGTAGTTAGATAGTCTTGCCAATCGGATGAGGCTGAGGTGGAAGGACGAAGCCGTACACCAAGATCTACAACCACAGGAAGAGTCAAAGGCCCGAGGAATTATTCCCCGAATAGGCACTCTGACACTCAAGTCAATAAGGTAATAGGGTTGGCCAAGACAAGTAGATTAGAGTGATGCTAGTTTTGAGTTGAAGAGAGGGTGTGAAGGGGTGCTAAGTGAATAGAGAGCTAAAAATTCCTTTACCTCGAGTGGGGAATTCCCATTTATAGCTGAACATCCGTGCTCTGGTAGAATAAGGCTTTCAGGGTTGTAGGAATGAAGTTATCCGCTAAGGTCTTCACAGAGTTTCTTTTTCCCTGGTGGAGTCTACTTCCTTGTTTATGTGGGACACTCCTTAATCACACTCTTCCGTTACACGGTTTTGGGTGACGATACTGACGTGGTCCAAAGAGGGCGGCCATGAAATTCACCACTTGGCACCCTTGGCCAGCTAGGCAACCACCCAAACAAGTTATATGAAATTAGTAGCTCTATTTTGTTTTAGTTACTAAAAAAAATGCCATTATATATATATATATCTTGCCATTTAATAACAAGCGAAGTGCCTAAACTGAAAACTTTATTGCTCTATCTTTTAGTAAATAAGATTTTAAGTAGCTTGAGACTCCACTAAAAAACAAAGCATCAAATCATTCAAATGGCCCCTAAATGACAATTAACAAAAGACAAAGTAAGTAATAATTCTATCGGTGTGAGCTTGTCCTATACTGGGAGTTCAAATCTGCGCCCCATGAGGGGGCGCCCCACAATGTCCCACAGTGCATCCCCGCCTTGTATTGGGTTGGGAACATCTCCTGATAGCATTGGTCCCAAATCCAAATAAAAGAGGTTTGTGTTCAGTTGGTAGCGGGTATGACACCCATAATTTAATAATGAATAGGAAAATTCTCGATTAGTATCCTGTACTTGAGCCTAGTTAGTGTTATTTTGGTCCCTGAACTTTAAAACACAACAATTTAGTACCTGAACTTTTAAAATGTATCAATCTAGTATCAGCCGTTAACCAACTATTAAGTGGCATTTGAAAAGATACAAATTTCCTTCAAGTGTCGTCTAACTCTCTTTATCAATCATCTAAACGTTGACAAAAAATAAATAGTCCCAAATCTTTGTCTGTTCTATTCAAAAAAATTAGAATCACGCCTTAATAAACATTCTTATAACCCTAACTATCTTAAATAAAAAAGACAATGATTTTCATTTTTTATCAACCTTTAAATAATTGATAAAGAAAATTAAACATTTGACCGTAAATCAAGAGAATGGATTGGCGAAATAAGATTTATGTAAACAAGTCATATATATGGGACAAGATGATGAAAAAACAAAACGAGTCATTGAATTTAACCACTTGAGTCGTTATCAAGCAACCATTTTAGCCCCCAACTCAGTGGCTCAAATGGTCGTCCCGTGACAAGGAGTGCATTAGATGTCGCACCGTTCGGCTTCAGTCAGTGCAAATTCATGCTCACACTGTTCCAACACTCTTTTGCAGTCTTGCACGGGAATATCTCAATGCTCATTAATATGTAGGTATTCCCGATGTAAGGCCGTAAAAGCTGTTGGAACAGACAATGCACTGATTGGAACTGATCTGGATGTTGCAACTGAAACAACATTTCAGTCAGTGCAAGCCCGCCTTACACTCATGCACCGGGAATATCTCCGTACCTATGCACCCTTATTACATGTAGAGAGAAAGATATTCTCAATGCAAATTCCTAAAAGCCTGTTTGAACAGGCCTCGCACTGACTAAGCCAGCCAAATTCGATGGGAGATATTCCCACCACTGGTGGTTGAGACATTCTTAAGTACGGTAGTTGAAATTTGAAATGGCTAGCATGTTATCAAGTACATGTTCACTTTTCACATTTTCTGGCTTCCAAGGATAAGATTGGATAGGGATTCCCGATTCCAGGCTTCCAGCTGCCTAGCAAATTTAAGGCACCAGTGCATTCCCTTAACCACCAAAAATACATACACATAAGAGAGCAAAAGGACAAATCGAACAGTTGCAAGAAATTGGCCACCCATACTTCCTCATTTTGCCAACTCACATGGTCACTTTTCCACATGGCAGTGATGTGCACTGAGTAATGACTCGGGTGGACTCGTCCATATATTGTGTGTCAGTTCCAGCTCCCAAGCGAGGTACCCTGCCATGATTTGATTACTGGACTGCTTTTTCAATTGGGCTTGTAAAGAGGCATTCAATGTAAACCTAACTTGTTCAGCAGAAATTCATTTTGAAAGATCAGTACCACCTACCCAACTCCTGTCTTCCTATAAAAGGAGAAGCTTTACTATACCATGCACATTTATTCTTCATCTCTGTCTCTCTCTGTCTACCATGGTTTCACCGGACGTCGTCGAAAGCCTCATCTCTGGCGTGAGATTGTCGTCGGTTGGACCGGCGGCAGTAACCCCACCTGACCTGATATATGAACCCAGTAACATGGACTTGGCCATGAAGCTTCACTACCTAAGAGGGGTTTATTTCTTCAGTAGCAGCTCGGTGGAGGGGTTCACCATCCCCAAGATCAAGGAGACCATGTTTCAGTGGCTGGAGCTTTACTACCACGCCTCAGGAAGGTTCAGGAGATCAGAGTCAGGGCGGCCATTCATCAAATGCAACGACTGTGGTGTCAGATTCATCGAGGCCAAGTGCAGCCAGACTCTTGATGAGTGGTTGGAAATCAAGGATTTCTCTACCCACTGCCGTTTTGTCTCCAATCAAGTCATCGGTCCTGAGTTACCTTTCTCTCCATTGGTTCTATTGCAGGTACAGACAGCTCTCCACAGACTATATACACTAATTATTATAAGTAAAGTTTTCTATCTCCACAGACTATATATACTAATCAAGGATTTACATTGTTTGAAGTTCATGAACCGGGTAAATAGTGATCAGTCATCATCTCATCATCAACTCTCCGAGTTTGTTAGACTAAGTTGCTAGTTTGCAATCTAGAACAAGTTTTCATGGAAAATGGTGGTTCTGTCGATGTAGTGTTTGGTTCAAATAAAATAAAGAGCAATGCTAGCCATGCTTTAACAACCATATATTACCAGAAATTTGGTCAGGCTAAAATTAATTGGGCCCATTCCCATTTTAGGGTCCTTTGGTTCTACCACCTAAGGCCGTCCCGTCCTCTCTTGCTTAAATCCACTGAATTGACATCTTTTAGGTTGTGTTTGGTTGTAGTGCAAATCATGACTGGGTGCAAAATTTGTACTTACTAACCCTTGCAAATTTTGCATGGCAAAAATTGATAAAAGATTTGCACCGTGTTCATATCCTACCTCAATTCTTTCTTAGATCTGTAATGTGGGCCGTGTCAGCACAACAAACCCACTTTTTTCGGGCCAACCACATTGTAGTGGCCCATGCCTGCTTGACACAAAATTTTCAAGAGGGGATCCCAGCACAGCCTAAAGCCTAAACTAGGGCTCTTCATAAGAAGGCCCAAACCGATCAACTTAGACCGACCCAACCCAAGTTGGCCGGGTTTTCATCAGCACCGGTCGGTTTCGGGTTGGGAAAATTCATAAACCGATACATCGGGTCGGTTTCGGTTTTCTTGTGTGAAAATCGAAACTGACCCGACTTGAATCGAACCAATTAGTCTTCTAGCTAGTTCCTACTTAACTAGTCTTCTAGAGTTCTAGAATATAAATATTTCAGCCTTCTTTCTATAAAACAATTTGACTTTCTATTTTATTGATAACTTTTGTCTTACTTATATGATTTTATTCTTTACCCGAATTGAATTCAGATTTATCTTTGACTCTTGAACAACAACTAATTCAGATTTATATGAAGATTTATCTTGGACTCTGAATTGAATTCAGATGGCTGAAATGATGGTCAAATAAATTTCCTTCTAGTTCTAGGCTTCTCTGTCCTTTTTGTACAGGAGCAAAACCGAAACCGACCCAACCCGACTCAAACCGACCAGGTTGGTTTTGCCTATCAGTGGGTCGGTTTCGGTTTCCACCTCAGGTAACCCGACCAGGTCGGGTCGGTTGGGAAAACCCCAGTAAACCGACCCAACCCGACCCATGAACAGCCCTAGCCTAAACCAGATTGCGGACTGATATGATTTTTTTAAGAAAAATTAAAATAAATTAATATGATAGACAATAAAATAAAAAAAAAATCTTAAAATTTTATTTTATATGAATTTTGATGTATACAATTATTTATATATGAAATAATAAAATAAAATTGAAAAAAATTACAGTAAAATCAGAATAAAATAATATAATAAGGCTCGGGTCATGCCAGCTATGGGCCTGGACCCCCTAAGCCCAATAGGGTCTAAGGTTTCAAACGGTGCCTGGCATGGCCCGATTTTTGGACTAGGTGGGCTGTGCTTTGGCACAACCCGAGTCTTGTTGGATCATGTTGGTTGTGGGCAGTTTGGTCGAAGCTTGCGTTACCTACGACCATGGTTGCAAAATAATTGTCACCCAGTGAAATACAAACATGCCGGTGTTTACAATAAATTCAATGCATCACATCATTTGATTTTTTATTTCAAACATTGGTGTATTCATATTATAGCTCTCTTCTTTCTCATATAAAGTGGGCACTACATCATGTTGCATCTTACCTTGTTCCTACAAAATAACCCTCTTCTGCTACCATAATATTGAATTTTCAGTCTAAAGCATTATCAAACTTATGACCATAATACTGAATTGGAACTTTTCATCTCATGCATTATTTCACAGGATCAACTATAATACCAGAAAGGCATGACGGTATCTAAAAAATTTGTGACCTATCAACTGGTATCATAAACATATTAATTAATCAGGTGGAATTTATCAAAATTTACAGATGGATTTTGATTGGTCAAAACTCTTCCGCTACCATGTCTTATGGGCATCATAGATTTTCCCTTTAAACACCTAAGGTCTCATCATCATCATCATCTATGCCTTATCACAAATGTATAGGGTCAACTACATGAATCCTATTTCACAATTCTATCCTATTCAATGCCATATCCATCGTCCCATTAAACTAAGATCTCTATGAGATTTCCATTTGGTTTGTACGAATAGGGGGTCTGGAAACTGTTTGGTTGGGCAGAATCAGAATCCCATTCCCATTTCTAATGGAATGACATTCCCCCCTTTGAGGGAATAACTATTTCCTCCCCCTCCATTGGAAATAAAATCCCATTCCAACTGATTTTAATTCCCATACTAATTCATGTCAGAACCAAACAGATTATGGAAATAGACCATTCCGATTCCAGTTTTGAGGATTGCGGTTGTGATTCCAGATTCCAACTATGCACCAAATAGACCCAAGTTAGTCTTGTTTTTCATTTTTAATAACTTCATATCTATATTACTATTAAAAGTGTGAATGAGGTCAAGATTCTGGATTTTTTTATTAAAATATCTTTATTTTTTAAGCTTTGTCTCCCTATGTTATGAGGGCAAAAAATATAATTAAAACTACTACTTTTATTAAGTTATTATATTCCTTGTCATTAAGTTCTATATTTAAGGTATAACTCTCATTTCCTTTTATTAAATCTTATATTTAAAGCAAATTAAATAAATGAGCTTTATATACTTTTCTTGACTAAAACACCCCTATTTATGAATTTAGTCCCTCTTTAGTTGTGTTGGCAAAAAATGTAACTTAAAGTACTATTACTTTCCACTTCATTAAATTCCCTCTCATTAAGGTATTAACTCTCACCCTCTCTCATTAAAAACTTTATTTGAAGCATTTTTTTTCTCACCAATAAACTCTACAAATTAAATCTTTATCCAATATTTTTAATAATGTAAAACCTATGTTCATAACTAACATGAAAAATAGTTAAATAAACCACCCTTTTGTATGAGTGACAAGTAGTTCAACCATCCATGCCAAATGAGTTTAGGCACATCTCTAAGTAGTGCAATTAGGTATTATGATTTCTTAGTAGGAGTTTCAGCAATTTAGTCAAGAAACTTATCTACAACTATAGAATTCATTGGCAAATACAAGAGTTCTAATTTAATTAAGATTACTCAAACAGAGTTGTAATTCAATTAAAATTCATTATCAAATGTGCTAACTCGATTAAAATTCCTTGGTTTCAAAACTTTCCTTTTGTTTAAAACTATAGATTTCTTACTGAATATTTCTAGAGCTTTAGAACCATTCCTAATCATCCAATGTACACAGCAATTTTAGAACTGACATATTTCAATTTTGTTCCCAGGCAGACCAGAAACAATTTGAAAAGTTAGAGAATTTTCCTTTCATTTGATTATATGAATCTTGGTCTTCACTATCTTGACAAGTGGCAGCTTAGGTGGACACCTCATTATTGTTATGATGATGGTGCCTTATTGTACACATCAATGAGAGGGGTAGGGGAGGTGGGCAACATATTGGCTTCCTTTTCAAAATAATCCAAAAGAAATAAATAATTTCCATACCTGGATTCCTTTTCCCTTTTCTAATATCTTTGTTGCTAAGGCCCCATAGTATAGAGTAAACGATCATGTTCTTTCATATATATAAATTCTAGGAGCATGACTTATATTACATGTCATCAAGGATGGAATAATTGCCATGTATAAGTACTTTGTGTCAGACAATTACTTATATCTTAATAAATTTAGGGGAGAAAGAAGGGTAAGAATTTTTAGGCCCAAATTACATTTGGGGTGGGTGTTAATTTGGAATTGATGTCAATGCAGGTATTAGTGTAGAGTGGGGTTTCAGAAATCTGCATTGGGCCTGTCCGTACTCTGTAAATTTAGGCGGTCTTCTGAGCTTCAACAAATTCTGAAGACTGATTTAGGGTAGGGTCTGGAATTGGACCCACTCCGATTCCAATTGCTTGGTTGAACAGAATTAGAATTCCATTTTCATTTTTGCTGGACTAGCATTTTCTCATTTGAGGGAATGGCCATTCCCTATCCCTTGGGAATCCCATTCAGGCTTATTTCAATTTTATTTCTGAGTCCTATCAGAACCAAATAGACTATGAGAGTTGATCATTCTAATTCTGATTCCAAGGGTTTTTAATTTCAATTCCGATTCTGATTCCATCTGCAAACCAAGGCGGTGTTCTACAATGTGAATTGTTTTTCTTGTTGTTAATAGTTACACAAATAAATCAGAACCATCTGGTTTGATAGCAGATTGTTCATCAAAACAAAAACATTGAAAACATGTTCTTTGGTTGTGTGTATGTTTTTTTGTTTTCAAAACAAAAACACAAAAATATGTTCTTGAATTTCTAGTTTCAAAAACATGTTTCCATCCGGTTATGTAGTATCATGTTCTATAAATCATATAATTTTTACACTACAAAAGCTGTTTTTCTTAAAACCATTATTTTGATGGTTCCAAAACCATGACTTGATTTTTGAAACAAAACCAATTCGTTTTTCTCTTTGAAAACAAAAACAGAGTTCAAGAAATTGATTTTTTCTGTTTTTCTGTTTAGTAATAGAAAGTCAAAGAGATTGAAAGATGTATGCTCAAAAAAACCCCAAAAGAATGAATTGCCGAATTTTAGGAAGCTTCTAAACAAATCTTTTGAGTCCTGCCCAGTATATAGTCTTTAAATGCATTTTTAAAAGTTTGTTAAACCAAACCACTTACCAACCGGCCTTGATCTTGAAATACAAGACCCCAAAAGTTCAGTACATCTTTTCGTTATTTGGACTATCACAATATATTCCTAAAAAACCTTACCAAAGCACCTTATGCCATGTTTGGTTTTGCTTAGGGCTTCATTTTTTTAATTCTTG